TTTTATTAAACTCTTAACATATTTTAGATAACTCCTAAAATATGTTTCCTATTCTGAACCCTTCAGAATTGCTTATTGCTCAAGCTTACTTTAACAGATTTGTGTCTGTTTCTGTTTTTTATACAAATTCTATTCTACCAATTTGTCCAAACTGCTTTATTACAAATTCTACAAATTCTATTCTACCAATTCTTCAACTTTCTATTCTACCAATTCTTTATCTTTCAATTGGTAACAAAATTCTAAAAATTCTTTAAATTTTTTAAATTCTTCTAATTCCATAGTTATCAGTTTGTAGTTTGTGCCTATAGTTAAGTTTTAAAATTCTATGAAAAAAAAAAGCCACCGATTCTATGGGTATTATCGTCATTTTAAAAAACAGGCGAAGGAAGAAGAAGCGAGGCGGCTTGAGCGTGAATGGGCCTCACGAACTACATACATTACAGCTTTGCCTGTGACAGAAGTTATATCACAGACGAATTAGCAAAAGACTTTTTCTTGAGAAAAGGGAAAAGCATGCGCACTCGTGACCTAACTAACTAACCTCACAGCCAAGTGACATTATCATTTTGCTCATCGAGAGCTTTGGCCTCCTTCTCCTGCTGCTTCCCCTTTGAGTTTATCGAGGCCTTTTACTGTCCAAAATCGCCGTCGCCTGATTCCATCATCTCGGCGACGATTCACAGTTTTTAGGATTTATCAAGCGAAACTCGGAGACGTACCTTTGATTCTATTCGTCGATCCTCCAATTCGTAAGGAATCTCTTTGCTTCCTATTTCTTCTCTCTTGTTCGATGTTAGCTAAGATGCTGACGAGAATTGGTGATTCGTTTTTATACTTTAATTTATACGAGTGATTGCGTGAAGGGAATGGTTAGATTCTGGGTTTTGATCAATTCGATTCTCTCCCGATCTGTTTCTCCCCATTTTTGTGTGTTCGTGTGTGTTTGCTTCCATAGATAGTTTCGGTTTGAGGACTAAATTCATACAGTTTTTGTTTCTGTTGAAGAGAGCTTTAATTGTAGGCATTTGAAGATTCTGGTGGATTTTCAAACACAAATTTTAACTTGGAATGTAATTTTTTGGTTGATTTGCCGGCCAGACTTATGATTCTGCTTTGCTTGTGAATTTGTCAGAGTTGCTGCATTTCATTTTCAACATCTGAAGATGGGAAGCAGTCCACCTCCATTTCTTGATATCGGCAAGAAAGCCAAAGGTAAATTACCAAATCTTGGACGTTGCTTTGGTGTTACTCTCTGGGTTTGAAACTCCCCTTGTTTATGAGTGTTGGCCGTTATTGAAAATCTGCAGATCTTTTAAACAAGGATTACATTTTCGACCACAAGTTTACTCTGACAATGCCGAGTGCCACAGGAACGGTATGTAGGATATCACTTGGATTCTTTTGCTTGAATAGAGTAAATCTCTCTTATAGAAATCATATTTTTCTTATATAGACTTTTGTTGGTTCATGGCTAGGGATACATACCATACAATGCGTTATTTGAGAGAAGCAATCAACTCAACTTAACAGAGTGTACTTAAGTTTAATATACCTGCCTTGCATTATTTTGAATCGTAAAATGGTTGCAGTATTTCGTACAGGCATGATCTTTGATACCTAGTATACCCAGCTAATGAATATACTTTCTAAACATGGCTTTTGACGAATCGTAAGTTGGAGAAAATTTGTTGTGATTCTAGTGTCATCTAAGGAGGGGGGGTTATTTGGCTCACTTCCCCTTTAAACCAATGTCCTTTAATTGCTTTAAACCTATGTAACTATACTGCATAGTGAAATTTTCTTTCCAGCAGGAATTCGTGGCTACAGGTTTGAAGAAGGATGATTTCTTTTTTGGCGACATAAGCACACTGTATAAAGGGAAAAACACCATTGTTGATCTGAAAATCGACAGTCGCTCAAGTGTAAGGAATATTATCTCAAGTGATACTTGTTTTCTGATCTTTTACACCTTAGCTTTCCTAAACCATATTACTGAACACTGAACATATATATATTCATGCAGGTGTCAACGAAAGTAACTGTCAAAAATCTCATACCTTCTGCTAAAGCTGTTATTAGCTTCAACATACCTGATCACAAGTCTGGCAAGGTCAGTTCATCGCCCCATATGAGAAACGACTACCAAATAGAGTCTCAGTCTTATGGAAATGTCAGTCGATTTCTGTACTCTTGACCAGTTTCTTTGCTATATTTCAGCTGGATGTGCAATACGTTCATCCTCATGCTACGCTCAATTCCAGCATCGGCCTCAACCCAACTCCTCTTCTAGATCTTTCAGCAACTATCGGAAGCCAGACTGTTTGCCTTGGTGGTGAAGTTGGTTTCGACACAGCTTCTTCGACACTAACCAAGTACAATGCCGGAATCGGTATAAACAAGCCAGACTACTCTGCTGCGCTCATACTGTAAGTAAACAACAACATGATGCTCCATTATCGATCTGGTCTCAGGTTTTGGCTTCTTATGGAACTGAAACAATGTTGAATTTTGTAGGGAGGATAAAGGGGAGAGTCTAAGAGCTGCTTACGTCCACGCGGTGAATCCAACCACATCGTTTGGTGCAGAACTGATCCAGCGCTTCTCCAATTATAACAACAGCTTCACCATCGGAAGCTCTCACTTTCTGGATTCATTCACAACGGTGAAGACCAGAATCTCGGACAGTGGGAAAGCAGGGATGGTAGTACAGAGAGAATGGAGACCGAAGTCGCTCATAACTTTATCAGCTGAGTATGACTCAAAGGCTGTGAACTCTTCACCGAGGCTCGGTCTCGCTCTCGCCCTCAAACCATAAAAGAAAAAGAGCTCTCAGTTTGGAACACAAAATTAAACAATTCCAATTTTTTTCACAAGTGCTAAAAACCTCCCCCAAACAAAGGTTTGTAGGGTTACTAAATCACTTTTGCATTAAAATTTGTTTTCTGATTTTTTTGAAATGGTAACTTGTTTTTGTTTCATTCTACTTTGGCATCATTTGATCGATCTGTATTGACTTAGCGGATACAAAAGAAAGTTGTTTGGTCTTACAATAATGACACGAAGTAGACCTTAAGCATTACAAAATGGATTAAATTTATTTATACTATAATAAAC